TCTATTTCATAATCTGTGTCACTCAATTTCCTGTGTACAAGATATGGGCCATAGAACCTAGCTCTAAATGGATGTCCTGGTATTGGCAGAAGGATGAGTACTTTGTCACCTGCCACAAACTCTCTATGTTCTGCTTTTGTATCATACCAGGTTTTCATCTTCTCTTGACTATCCTGCAGGTTTTGTTTTGCAATGCTACAAGCCTTAGTAAACCTCTCTTTGAAGTTTGAAACGTAATCAAGCAGACTCATTTCTGTATCCTCATCTAGCCACTTCTCCTTCAGGTACTTTAATGGTCCCCGAACTGTACGTCCAAATACTAACTCAAAAGGACTGAAACCCAGTGATTCTTGTACTGATTCCCTAGCTGCAAACAACATGTATGGAATCCCTTCGTCCCAGTCTTTCTGATTGTCTTCACAATAAGCCTTAAGCATATTCTTTAGCGTTTGATGAAATCGCTCAAGAGCACCCTGTGACTCAGGATGATAGGCACTTGAACTATACTGAGTGATACCTAACTCATTCATAACCTGCTGAAATATCCCAGACATAAAGTTAGATCCCTGATCTGACTGGATGGACTTTGGCAACCCTACTAGAGTGAAGAACTTAATCAACGCTTTGACAATGGCAGGAGTCTTAATGTTCCTTAAAGGAATAGCTTCAGGAAAACGTGTAGATGCACACATTATTGTCAACAAATAGACATTTCCTGTCCGTGTGCGAGGGAGGGGTCCAACACAATCTATTATGACCCTGCTGAATGGTTCTTCAACCGTTGGAATAGGTTGCAAAGGGATATTTTGTTATCTTCTGGTTAGGTTTACCGACCATTTGACACGTGTGACATGTTCTACAGAATTTCCTGACATCATTCTGAATTCCTGGCCAATAGAAATGAGTTACGATCTTTTGGTAGGTCTTGTTAACCCCTAAGTGTCCTGCAAGTAAAGTATCATGCCCTAGGCTAAGAATCTCATGTCTATACACTGGTGGAATGACAATCTGGTGCAGTATGTTCCATTCCTCATCTGCTGAACTATCTGGAGGTCTCCACTTCCTCATCAAAACATCTGATTTAAGGTAATAGCATACTGCCTCCCTATGACTATCTTTCTCAGAAACAGCTTTGTCTCTTAGTAACCTAAGTTCTGGATTCATCTTCTGTTCTTCAATAAGTTTCTCCCTTGAAGCATCACTAATTGGTTCCTCAGAAAATGTGAACTTATCAACAATAGGTGTACTCCCTTTAGAAACACATCTGTCCCCTTTATCAGTTTCATCCCCATTTCTAACATTGGAAGGTGTCACTTCCTCACCTTCATCAAGATGACTGATAAAAGTCTCAGATAAATCAATTTCCCTGCATCTAGGAATGTCAGACTTTTCTTTTGACTTTGCTTTCTGTTGCGTCATAGCCCTAGTAACTGCACAAGAAGGGTATACTCTTATCTTGTCTCTCTCCTCCTGCTTGGCACACGGTATCTCACTAACCTTAGGTAGATCAGCTACAACCTTATCTTCTGCAATATCATTGCCCATGATAAGTGATACACCTGGTACTGGCAACGTTGACATGATGCCAACCCTAACAGATCCTGTCACTAAATCCGACTTCAAATGGACGTCATGAAGTGGTACCTTAATGTAACCCCCAATTCCCCGCATTAGGACACTGGTTCCTGTGTACGTTTTCTCAGAAAATGGTAGATAATCTTCTAGCATAAGAGTCTGGAGGGCTCCAGTATCTCTCAGGATATCTACAGGTTTTGAGACAGACCTATCACCTACTAAGGACACCAATCCTTTTGACATAAAAGGAGAATAACCATTTTCAAAAGGGGCCTTGTCTACCTGCACACCCTCAACATCCACTTGAGACAACTGATGTGATATCACTGAGGCAAGAGCATGTGGCGACTGTTCACTCTGAGATTTGTTCTTCAATTTCCAACATGCACTTAACAAATGTCCCTTTTTCTTACAATAAGAACACACTGGCCCTGAACTCATCAATCCTGCTGACGGGTTTCCCTGTGGAGAACTAAGTGCTCTACCTGCCATCTCATTATTGTTAGGACCTCTAGCTGAAGGCTGAGACAATCCATGACCTGTAGCATTACCGCATGTAACATTTGACCTGGAAAACTACTCCCTGAAGCCTTAAAAGAAGAACCAAACTTCCCTCTACTATGGTAATCTGCACTTCGCAGTGAAGCCTTATGTGTAAGTGCATAGTCATCTGCTAGAGTAGCTGCTTGCTCTAATGATTCAGCCTTCTGTTCATCCAAATAGGTTTTAATGTCACATGGAATACACCTTTTGAACTCCTCAACCAGCATGAGTTGTTTCAATTTCTCATAATCCTTGTTTATCTCTTTGGATGAACACCATCTATCAAACATCATAACCTTGTTTCTAGCAAACTCAACGTAAGTCTGTCCTTCATGCTTTCTACAGTTTCTAAACTTTTGTCGATAAGCCTCGGGAACTAACTCATAAGCTTTCAGTATGACACTCTTAACCACTTGATAATCAGAGCTCTGATCAATGGATAGAGCTGCATAAACTTCCTGAGCTTTGCCTACGAGAACACTCTGAACAAGTGTAGTCCATGATTCTTCAGGCCATTTCAAATTTGTAGCTAACTTTTCAAAATGCAAAAAGAACTTATCAACCTCATTTTCTTGAAACGGGGGGAATAAGTTTCACAAATTTTGCCACATCAAATCCCTTATTCTTCTCATCACCTAGTTTCTGCTGTTTTATCTTCAGCTCTAACTCCAGCTTCTGAATATCTAATTGCCTGGATCTCAATTCCCTTTCTGTATGCTCTTTCTCTTTTTGGACCTCTAATTCCTCTTTTTGGACCTCTAATTCCATTAAGATGATTTGTTCACTCTTGACTTTTGTTTTAGGTTCAAGACTCTCATCTAAAATATTTTCATCCACTAAGTATTCTATCACAAGGTTTTGAATATGGGATTTCCTAGACAACGGGTCAATGTCAACCTGATAATACGTTGCCACCTGTATTACTTCAGATTTCTTCAATGCAAGGATATCTTCAACACTAATTGTCTGTACAAAATCCTTCACTTTGAATTCCATGACTACTAATTGTTGTGCTTTCTCTATTTACACTGAACAATAAAACAATGAACAATTTGAATTTGAATTGATACGTGAGTGATGTAAATGAGTGCTTTAGTTGCACAAGTTTCCCTTTTATCTGTTTAGGAACAACATTCCAAATGGTTAAATGAACAGATCCCGGACGAGCCCCCAATTTGTTACGAGTGGAGAGATCACACAACAATTTAAAATAGTTTTAATACTGGCAGTCTATACATATATACAAATGTTCAAAACAAGTATCATGGTATATGTTAAAAGTCTTACTTTGGTTATCACACGGATATACAATTGTTCCTGCTCCATCACATTCCTCAGAATAATATCACATATAATCCTTCACATGAAATCTCACTATGCCGACATGGCATATTCAAGTAGACAGTTTAAACTTGCCGACATGGCCAATCCATTCAGTTCACTCCCGACCTGGGCACTGATCACTTTGTGTGTTACCTTGCTTGAACAAGTCAAAAACCCAAGCTACAATTATATAACATCGTTGTTTCATTACCCCAGCTTACTTATAGACAATGGAGAGTGGTCACTGGTAAGCATAGCTTCTCAATTAAGGTGAACAGGTATTTTAGGGAATGTAAATATATTTTAGAATGACTTCATACAGAATTATTTATAAATATATATACAGAATTATGTATAGATATATGAAGGCCGACATTCTCATAACAATCAAACCTGTGGCAGATCTATTTACCGGCATCACGCTACGTGCCTAGAAGAAGTTCGGTATAAACATACCCAATAGCGTTCCCCAGGCCGACCTCCTGTTCCTACCCCACGACAAGAGGTACAAGTATGCCCTAACCGTCGTGGACGTGGCCAGTCGCTACAAGGAAGCCGAACCTTTGACCGCGAAAGACTCGACCCCGGGCGGGAGTTCATGGGTGCCGTGTCGAACCTGCTAGACAAACACGATACCAAGGTCAGGCGTGGCGCTGCCGGGGCTCATCGCAGCCAAACCATAGTTGAGAGATTCAATCGGACTTTGGCAGAGCGCTTATTTGGGCATCAGTATGCGAGAGAGATGACCAACGCGGGGAAACGATCGACTGAATGGGTAGCACGGCTACCTCAGGTGGTGTCAGCCATCAACCACGAAATCACCTGTCTCACCGGCAAGAAACCAGCCGACGCTATCAAACTAAAATCAATAGTGGCTGAGTCGTCTGCACCATTGCGTGGGAAGGAGAAACAGATACCAGATAGGGCCCTCGTGAGGTACCTCTACCAGCCGGGGGAACACGAAAGGGACACTCGGAAACGAGCCACCAATCCGATATGGTCGGTCAAAACTTACAATATAGATAAAGTGGACATCAAAGCCGACAAGCCGAACTTGTACTACTTGAGAGATGGGCCAGGGAGAGGTTTCGTTAGAGAGGAATTATTGATCATACCGTACGGTACAATGTTACCTCCTGTCAACACGTCATAGCGACACTATTGTGCCACGTGGGGTCGGGAAGTTAACTGGGGGTTCAAAAGTAGTAGATATACTGGGGCGAGATCTAAGGGCCTAACAAAAGCTTTATTTGTGAAATAAAGCTTTACAGAGGCTTTTGTTGGACTTGATCTCGGACTATCATTATATCTACTACTAACTATGATCGTTTGTTAAACAACTTTTATCCTAGGTTGCATAAAATTCTGAGATTTTAATGTTTCATAGGCAATGTAAAGTTATGAGGATTCGCAATCTTAATTTCACTTTATTTGATTTACTTCTTTGTTTGAAGTGAAATTCATCGGTACGTTTTCACTGCAAACAGACTATAGTGTGAATGTAATATTTTAGTCATTTCCATTATGCGGAAGAAACTGAATAAGAATAAAGTACTTACCATTACTTCCCGATATAGTGGCATCGTGTCAGACAATACCGCGAGCTGATGCACTGCAGATATAAAACCTGATGTGTTAAAGGTCACATGCAACCAAAAAATCAAACATAATTAAAACACAATTATCACTTATTCATGACATATAATATACATTGCTGGTTACGAAAAAATATATAAACAAAATTATAAGCGTACAATCGCAAATCGAAAGTGCAAAATTGTGTACTTCGGTTTACTTCCCAAGAAACGAAGCAGCCGGGATACCGAACCCAGTCAGAGCGGGTAGGTGTGCACTCAAGTGTAACGGCTGGTTCATTTGCAGATGCCTTCACGGCTAATTGTGTGTATATATATAGAGATGTTGGGTTTTGTAAATACATGCTCATTTTTTGTGCATAACATTTTACAATCAACAGACATCATAACATGTCATGTGTTCAAGTATCACAACTGCCTGTCTGTGTAATTACATAAGACAGAGACAGAACTCGGGCCATAAATCAATGCATTTTGTTTATGGTGTATAGCCCGATTGGTGTTAAGTTCAAATTGCATGTGGTCAGTGATAGCAGCTGTGTATTGAATATTGTCATTAGCAGACAGGCAGGCAGACACACAGGTGTCAATAAAACAAGACATTGAGTTTTGTCTGTGACAACACATATCTATATCACAGTCAGAAATTCTGTCAACGCTAAATAATGACATTGCTTTTAAGTATCGAACTGAGAAAGCGTCTCGGTAAGACTGACTGAGTTTAGTTTTACGCCGCTTTTAGCAATATTCCAGCAATATCACGGCGGGGGACACCAGAAATGGGCTTAACACATTGTGCCCATGTGGGGAATCGAACCCGGGTCTTCGGCGTGACGAGCCAACGCTTTAACCACTAGGCTACCCCACCGCCCCCGTCTCGGTAAGAAGAACGTGTGGTGAAATAGACAAATGAAATTATATAAACAGTTAATTTACTGTCATAACATATAAAAAGCTCGCGCCTGTGAGATATCAACAAAACATTAGAAAAATAGCTCACACCAAAGCCTTCACCGAGTATTCACCCGACAACCCGCTTCCAAGCTGCGCGAACCTATTTACTTGCGCACGTGCTATGAGCGCAGCCCAGCTGTTGAAACCCGTTTTCCCCAGAAAAGTCTTGGGAAAATTAGTGAAACGTTTGAACTCCGATTCCGCGAGGGTTTTTTCATCGCGTTATTTTTCAACTTTTTAAGTTGAATTTTCATTTTTGACGATTTGTTTCGGTATGTCCATACCGAAAGGTATCAGAATCTGCAAAGTTGTGTTTTACGTTGCATGTGACCTTTAACAGCTGCATGTTACCTTACGTCGGAGATGTATCCTGTTGACACATCCATGGTGCAGAATTAATATCCTATTTATTATGGCTGAGAGATGTGTTAAAATATCAGTATCATCATAAAACCAGTGGAACAGATGGAATATTTCAGAATCATCACTTTGCCGTGCAACAGAGTGGTCTAGAAGCCAGACCCCCAAAATGGTAAAAATGTGGCGCAGTTCTGGCGACCGAATGGGATGTAATTTGTCACAATCAGGAATGATTTAGCTTTGATTTAAAGCCGGTTGTCATCAGCTACCGTGCGTGACTACCGTGCAGGGGCCCTTTTAAGGTGCAGCATATCATGTCTGTTATGGCAATATTTAACCGATAGCTGGATGGTTTAATGTAATAACTCTGGTTTGGATAGACCGATTTTCATCAAAATAGTAGTTTTGGAATACTCAGACCATAATATATATTGTGGACAATAATATTACATATATGCTCATCGCCAAAATATTTAATAAGGTCAATTTTAATAGAAAGGGCATTTGAAGAGAAAATATGAGTTGAACTTAACAAATTCAACTTAATTTTTCCAAAATTATATTTTTCTGATTCAACTGTATCATTTGAATATGACATATACCTTTGGTTGGCACTGTATTCATGAAAAAACATTACAAGGAAACAAAAGGTGGTACTTTATATTTAGATCAGCAAAATATTACTTAATGTGTGTTCAACAGTAACAGCTCCATGCTTTACATAGCATCAACGATACCAAATATGTCGAAGATACTGTTGGACTATCATTAAAATCACACAACATAACAAAAAGCTCTTAAATGAATAATTTTATTATTCCAGATGTTTCCAAAGCCATGACTAAAAAGAATAGTTCTAACGAATGAAACCCAATAATATCTCCGGTATCATCTAGTGTTTTAAGCATTTCATAACTACATCTTGAATATCGTGAAATTGGTTGTCTCATCAATCTTAGCCAATATGAAATAACCCGACATCGGGCGTTAATAAACAGTGGAAAATGTCCACATTCAGCTAAAATAACCTTGTTCGCAGTTCTGTAGCCAACACGCAACAAGAACTTACAAAACTTTGAATGTACCTTTTCAATATTCTTGTTTATGTTAATGCCCCATATTTCAGAGCCATACAACAAAATTGGTTGAATTTTTCCATCAAACAATTTAAATGATGCATGGATCGGTAATTCTTTATATTTGCATATGAATTTCTTTATGACATGTAGGGCTCGTTCAGCTTGCATAGATAATGTTTCACAGGCTCTGGAGAATATATTTCTACACGAAAATATAATACCTAAACATTTGTAATATGACACCACCTCCAATTTTTGGCCATTAAGGAACCATTTTTCACTTTTAGAGATTTTACCCCCATTTTTAAAAACCATTACTTTAGTTTTACTAATATTTATCTGAAGACCCCATTTCAAACAATATTCATTTAGAGTATCTATCTTGCATTGTAACTGGACAACAGAATCGGCAAGAATCACGACATCATCTGCAAATAGCATTATTGCAAGATCTCTGATATGTTCGTTAATAAATACACCTCTCGTATCATTTAATAACATTTCCTTAACAAGTTCTTCAACATATAACAGGAAAAGTACAGGTGATAGAATGCAACCTTGCCTCACTCCGGCATATGTATCAAATATATCACTCATTTGAAATTTACTGGTTCTGACAGATGCTCTCACATTGGTGTACATATTACGTAAAAGACGTTGGAGTTTGCCATGTATACCTGACTGTAGTAGTACATATAACAGTTTTGACCTATTAACGGAATCAAACGCTTTCTTAAAATCTACGAAAAGACAATAAAACTTCCCCCCTTTCTTCCGCAGATATTTATGGATAATACTGTGGAGAGTAAATATATGGTCCGTAGTTGAATACTCTTCTCGAAATCCCGCTTGGCACTCAGATAAAAGTTCACGAGTGGAAATCCAAGCCTTAATGCGATTATCTAATATAGTGGTAAATATTTTGTTTAGTGTATTCAATAATGCAATACCTCTATAATTGTTTGGATCACCCCTTTCACCCGACTTATGCAGAGGTACAATCAATCCTACATTCCAGGAATCTGGAAAAACGCCGCTGTCTAGAACTTGGTTAAACAGACTATTCATAAAAGGAAGCAATAAAGAAATACATTCTTTAAAAACTTCAACTTGAATACCATCTACCCCGGGTGATTTTCCACATTTCAGACCTTTTACTGCACACAATATCTCGTTATCAGTTATACGATTACCAAGGTATTCACCAGAAGTAATACAATCCTCAGAGTCATTAAAGTTGTGATTACTTGTATAGCTAAGAACATGTTCCCCAAAGGAATTATCAATGTTATTCGTATCTCCAGGGAGCAGATTTTTTAAATAGTTAAACCATTCGTCAACTGATATATTTTCAGATATATTTTCCCTACAAAAACAATATTTCTTTCTAGATTTCCAGAAATGTCGACAGTCTTGTTTCTTTGCAGCATCAACAATTTCGTTTAAAATGCTTTTTTCATAATCTGCTTTCTTTCTATCACAAAGTGTTTTAAAATCCTTCTTTGCCCTTAGATAATGTTTACAATGCAGTGAGTTATTTGATTTTCTGAATCTATTTAGTAAAACATACTTATGTCTTTTAGCCTGTTCGCATTCACGGTCGAACCACCTGGGCTGTACACGTGTGTGCTGTGGGCGAGCGCGTGACCGTGAGTGTGCACGTGTTCTCGTGGGTCGGTGTGTTCTGGGTGCATGCATGGCTCTACGGATAAAGTCATTCAGCGATGTAATAGCACCTTCAACACTGTCATGTAATACATCATGAAATATTATGCTGAATTCATAAATATTATCTGAAATGTATTGAATAAACTCACCCTTACGGCTAGCGTCCCATAGCTCTGTCTCAATGTTGTGTACCTCTGCACGCGCATGCTCGGCGTGATTGCTGTCACGTGTCATGTCATGTGATGTTTTCATATCTACTATTACAGGCAAGTGGTCCGATTCGGATTGCGCTAGAATATCAAAGTTCTCGAAATATCTATATAAACATGAGGAAACCAAACAATAATCCACAACACTGTTCCCTTGGTGTCCAATGAATGTAAATTCTCCATATTTATCGTTCCCGTTTCTACCATTTAGAACATGTATGTTAAAATTGCGGCATATATCAAGGAGTTTTAATCCCTCTGAATTGACTATTTTATGTTTGGATGATCTAGGAATGTTCAATGGATCACTCTCATAGTCTATATCTTCAATTGGTAAATACTCAGTGGAGTCATGTTCTATATAACACTATTGTCGCCTATACGGGCATTAAAATCTCCAAATAAAACAAGCGATGCATCGGGATGTTCTCGGGTTAAAGTATATAGTCTACTCTCAAGGAGTCCGATTCCTGAAAGTCCTACATCAACGGAGTTCTGTGTATCAGTCACATATACGAACCCAAATATCGTGGGTTTATTGGCGAGGTTGTTCATAATGTCGCTTCTGAAAAATATACAGTGTGACCACTCGTCGTGTATACGGGTGAATCTTGATGGGATAGGCTGTCTCACATACACAGCGATACCGCCACTGAATCGTCCGACAGAGTAGATGCGTTCTCGCACACACTGGTAGGAGATATATCCTGGAAACAGAGTAGCAAAATCTACTGGGTTCTTTGCCCACGTCTCCACGAAAGCGATGACATTAAATTGTTGACATAACCCTGTGAGGTTAGCCAATTGACTTAATTTAGAATTAAGGCCATTTACGTTCCAACATAGAAATGTATTATAATTACTTTTTTCACCGTTGTTATCGTTATCATTGCCATTAATTGTTGATATTGTCTTATTGAGTTTTCCATCTGTAATGAAATGTGTACTTAGCTTCGCACGGGCCGCTGATGCCCGGCCTCGGCCACCTCGCTAACTATGCTGTGAGTTGTCCAAAGAGTCTCGTCGTCTGCTATACTGGCCCGGGGACTCTCGTCGCGTGCCAGACCGGTCCCGTGCCCGAGAGGGAGTGGGTGAAGCACGGCTCGCTGGGGGGATCCGCCGTCTTCCTACCTCACGCAATGAGTCCTTATCCCAGTCATATGTGTAGACCGTGTTATTAACCACGAGTTTGTCATAAGATATATAACAATCTTCCCCCTTTTCTCTGTATGTTTGCAGAAACGTCCCCAGTTGTCTCCGTGTGTTCCTTACGGCCTGGGTGAAGTCGGGGGATACCCGAACCTCTCTGTTACCACTAAGTTTTTCCTTGGCTATTTTACTGACATATTCTCTATCTTTAAAAGCAGAGAATTTCACAATTATGGGCCGTGGGTGTCTCTTGGTGGGAAGGCGGTGAGCACGTTCAATGGGTATACAGTCGGCACGGCTTGACTCTACTTCAAGTTTAGTTTTCAGAAAGTCTCTCACCTTTTCTTAACCATTTGGCCATCTAATAAAGTAATGTATGTCGATAACTACCCCCTCTTCAAGGGTAAATAGGTACCCCACATCATGGGGGGTTCTCTATGCAAAGCGTCACTATAGAAATAGCCTGAAATATGGATAGCACATTTCGGAGCGGGGCATTTTTGTATCAAAATACTTGAAAATACGGTTTGGAAATATTATTATCGTCTTCCTTATCCATTTGGCCATCTAATAATGTGGAAAGAGTCGCTCCCTTTTCCCTCTTCAACAGCCCATCGATGTGCATATTCCACAGACCAATTGGCTTTAAATCTCTGATACAGTCTACAAATAGCACCATGACTCACGTTAAAACGGACAGCAACCTGCCGCTGAGTTTGACAAGAATACAAAAGGCTTATAGTCTGACCCCTTTCAACAAGTATCAAAAACAGTCTCATTTTAAGCTGCCTGAACAGTGAACGACAGTGAAAAAGTCATCAATGCATGTGCACTGACCTCCGCTTTCCATGGATAGAGAGACTTGCACGTACAAATCATTTACATGAAGTGGCAGGTGAATTTCCATATTGACAATTTGAATACAAAATGTGCCATTTGTAACAGAATGTATTGGGCGTTAAAGAATGTAATAATGACATTTCAACGGCCTGATGTGTTTTTCCTTACTGTTAAGAAAGTTTGTAAAACATTCAGTTTTATATATTTCAAACAAAACCGAAGATTTTACAACTTTAAAAAATAGTGCTATCACAAGCTTAACCCTTCGTTAATGAAAGACTGAGCCTTAGTCTAGCTGTACGCTTGCTGTTACAGACGAATACATAGACTGAATCACATTCGACATTTTAACAGGGAGACCACATTGTTTAGAACATGTAAACGTTTATTTTAAAGGGACGGTGGGGTAGCCTAATGGTTAAAGCGTTGGCTCGTCACGCCGAAGACCCGGTTTCGAATCCCCACATGGGCACAATGTGTGAAGCCTATTTCTGGTGTCCCCCGCCGTGTTGCTGGAATATTGCTAAAAAGCGGCGTAAAACCAAATTCAGTCAGTTTATTTTAAAAAGCTATTGTGAAGTCAAAGGCAACAGAGTGTACCCCTTGTATACAAGCACCTGCTTGTTTTTCACATATCTTGTTATTATTTTCTTATCCCTGTAGGATCATGCAGAGGACCATGTTTTGTGCACTATTATACTTTCACTCCAAGTGCAGGCACTCCCAAATACCCTTTGTGTTTATTATATGTATCATAAACTTACATTTGTGTGTAAATAAATGTCACTTATCGCGTTATGATATAGATGGTTTCGTTTGTTATAATGTACCTCATAGTTGTGCTCTCTGTGTGCACCGCATGCATTTGTATGGTTTTGTACGCTTTAAGCACTTTTGCGGACGCATCACGACGGGAGAACAAAACATGAATGGGCTCTAACGAAATACTAACCCTATGTCATGAATCGAACTCCGTTTTTTCGGGTGAGTGAATTGAGTTTTACGCCGCTTCAAGCAATATTCCAGGAATTTCAGTAATGTGTATAGTACATATGTCGCAGGGTTGTAAAACACGACCACTGGGCTGGTGTTCAATCTCTTTATTATGCCATTTGCCATTTCCATTTGGTGTTTGTCAAACACGAGCGTGCCATAAACCTGTAATTAGGGAAATTGCTGCCACTGCCAGCATGGTGTGTCTTTATAAATTAATACGACAAGTAAAACTATTATGACATTTTAAATAATTATTAGGTGTAAATAATTATGAAAGTTAATGGTTACTAGACCATTAATAAATATAATTATTTGAATACAGGTTTACACCTGACTTAATTATGAGAAATTGTTTTAATATTAACAATTCAAACAAACCTCTAATTAGGGAAATTACATAGAGGGCTGCCACTGCCAGCGTGGTGTGTGCCGGGCACATGGCACATGCAGCTTTTATATCACCTGAGTGCACAGACTGCAGGAGCAGCATGTGCCAGAGCCCAGGATGTACCTGCCGGCAGCCAGCTAATCTGTATGGCAAGCTGTTAGGGACAAAAATTGTAAAATGTGCCAGAGGTGCTGTGCTGTACATTGTATGAACAATTGAATCTGTGACACATACATACTCAGCAGCCAAAAAAAATGTCAGTACGAATTCAAAATTAGATAGGCACTGTAATCAAATCATTACAGAAATGGACATAATAAGCGGATCACAAACATCTTTTGTGTACAATATCCTGATACATCAATGAATAACTCAGCACAATTTCAAGACATTACGTGAACGTTTGCAGTCCTTTCAGACTCTTGACTTCAGTATCTAGTGTGACCACCACGAGCGGCAATAACTGCAGTACAGCATCTATGCATGGAGTGCACCAATCGATTGATGAAGGCCATTGGCACCTGGAACCACACTCTGAGAAAGGCCTGGCGCAATAAATCGGCTGTGTTGAGCTTTGGTATGACATTATTCAGTCTCCTCTGAGTTTCATCCCAAAGATGTTCAATTGGGTTTAAATCAGGACTAAGGGCTGGCCACAGCATAATGTTGACACCGTTGTCCTGTAGGGAGTCCTGTGTACCTCTGGCAGTATGGGCCCGGGCGTTATCGTGGTGGAAAATGTTGTGACGTGCGAAATGTGGTATGACGTGGGGGTCGAGAGGTTGGTCGATGTAGAGCACCGCTGTGATGCCGCCTCATCTCCCTGGACCAAGGTTCTGGAACACCACAGGACCCACTCTCTGCTTCAGGCCTATTCCACCCCATACCATGATGCTTGCAACTCCCCATGAGTCTCTTTCCATAACACATTGGTCTGAGTAACCCTATCCACATCGTCGCCATATTCTTGTTCTGCCATCTGCAGTTGATACGCAGTACCGACTCTCATCTGTGAATAGAACAGTTCTCCATTGCCTGTATCGCCAGTTTTGGCGTTGTAGGGCAAACTGTAGACGTTCACGCCGATGACGAGGGGTGAAGATAGGTCCAATGGAGGTTCCGCTGTTAAAACGTCGGCGTACTGTATCAGTACTGATTGGTCTTCCGTGTGTTTCCACTGTCTGGCGTGCTGTTTCGGATGCCTGCATGAAGGGATTCTATACATGCTCTCGCACAATATTACGGTGTTGTCGTCTTGTGGTCACCCTTGGTCTGCAAGTACGGGGGCGATCATTTATGGTGTTAAACCTTAAACAAATAATACATTTCACGCTTTGCTGATAAAACGAGATATTTAACCAATAATTATGATAAACACACGATATATGTTTAACGAAGTGTGGAACATTGCAATGGTTTTTCATTTCACGTAAAAAGTCAGCGCGAGATTTCTGTAGACAACTGGTGAGATACAGAGGGGTCGAATTACCTCCAGCCACAGCCTGGGAATACAATGACGGAGACTTGCCGCCAGTCTTGGTAACCCAACCCTCCCCAGGTTATGAATCGGAATTTCTGCTTGGGTTGGCAAAATCAAAACAAGGTAATTTAACTAAAAGGTCACATGCAACCAAAAAACAAACATAATTAAAACACAATTATCATTTATTCATGACATATAATATACATTGATGATTATGAAAA